TTGCTTGGGTGGATACCTATAGGGCACTATGGACTGAAGTTTTAAAGGCTGCAAGAGCAGGTGAAAGTCAGTGCAGATGAGGAAAAGTGTTTACATCAGAATCCCCTCATGGAGCTAGACCTCTAGATGAGCTACCTCTTTGAGTGAAAAAATAAACTAAAAATTATTATGACATCAGGAAGTGACAGAGCATCTTTTCTATCTTGGTCTCTGGGTAAAAAAAACCAAAACACTTAAGCATTTATAATCACATTCTTGTTCTTCATGGGGTTTGGTGAGTTTTTTAGCCTTTTTGAATTTCAGTTTCCATGTTTGTAAAATGGGAAGTTTTAAAAATTAACTGGGATAACAAGTATAAAGTTCTTGACATTAAGCCAGAGTTAGATATTATTTATTATGTAGGAAATTGAGAGTTAATGGAATTAACTATGCAGTAGTATGCTGGTAAATGTCCTCCAGCAGGTAGGAGAACCCTAATTTGTAGTGCTTGCTGATTTCTATAAATACATGAAGGCCAATTTTAAGCTATCATCCTGATGCCATTGAACCTTAAGTTGAGAAAAGATGCGTAGATGTATACAGTCAGTTCTTGTGAGTTGGTCAGAACTGGTTTCAGCACATTACTGAGACTAACCGAATGAGCTTGTGGTCTCTTCTAATTGATTTTCCCCACTTAAAGTTGACTTTGCTCTGGTAACCTATCCAGAAGAATGTCTTGATTTGTCAGTGATTTATTAGACTTGCCTCCTTCAGTAAGAAAATTTAGCCTCCCTTTCTCTTACTGACTTCATTCCACTCTACCTCCATCCACCCCATCATCACATGATGTTTAGGGAGGTGGGTGTGATAGAGCCAGAAACCATGGCAAATCCTTGCCCTGGCTGTAGAGTATTGCTTACAATCTGTCCTGTTAGTGTGATGTCTAGAAACCTAAACCTATTCTTTTGAGGGAGATAGAAGGCCATTCAATTGAGCTATGATTCAGGAATCGTAATTAATAATAATATAAAAGTAACAACAATGTCAAAGCCTAACAGTGTTAGCTGCCTTTGAATTGACTCTTAACTCATGGCAATCCCGTTCACATCAGAATGAAATGCCACCTAGTCGTCTGTCATCCTCACCATCACCATATTTGAGTCCATTGTTGTGGCTGTGGTGCCAGTCCATTTTACCAAGGGTCCTCTAGCTCTTGTTGCCCTTCTACTTCACCACCCATGATGACCTCCTCTGGCAAGCTATTCCTCCTGCTGATAAGTCCAAAGCAAGCTAACTGGATAATGTTTTGGTGTGGTCCTTAAAGTTTTCATCAGCTAATCTTCATGAGGAGGAATGTGGAGTCAAGATTGGTGGAAGATCTATCAACAATCTGTGATATGCAGATGACACAACCCTGCTTGCAGAAAGTGAGGAGGACCTGAAGCACCTGCTGCAGAGGGTCAAGGACTGTAGCCTCCAACATGGTTTGAGGCTCAATGTCAAGAAGACAAAGATTCTCACTACTGGGCCAATTGGCAGCATCAGGATGGATGGTGAAGAGATTGAGAGTGTTCACAGCTTTAGTTTGCTTGGCTCCACAGTCAACACTCTTGGCACCAGTAGCCAGGAAATTAAAAGACGTATTGCCATGGTAAAGTCTGCTGTTAGGGACCTCTCCAAAATACTGAAGAGCAATGGTGTCTCTCTGGAAACTAGGGTGTGTCTGATACAGACCATGGTCTTTGCAATCACTTGTTATGCATCAGAGAGTTGGACAATGACTAAGGAGGATAGAAGGAGAATTGATGCCTTTGAGCTGTGGTGCTGGTGAAGAGTATTGAGGGTACCATGGACTGCTAGGAAAACAAACAGATCCTGGAAAGGGTCAAACCAGACAGCTCCTCAGAGGCAAGGATTCAGAGGCTTCATCTGACATACTTTGGACATGTTGTAAGGAGGGACCGGTCCTTGGAGAGGGCTATCATGCTTGGTAGGGTGGAGGGACAGCACAGGAAGGGAAGGCCCTCTATGACGTGGATTGATTCAGTGACTGGGGCAATTGGGATGGGTGTATTGGAGATGGTGCGATTGGCACAGGACAGAGTGGAGTTTAGGGCTGTTGTACATAGGGTCGCTATGAGTCACAAGGAACTCGACGGCACATAACAAGAACAACAGTCTTCAGAAAGAGCACCAAGTCTTTCTTCCTAGTCTTCCTTAGTTTGGAAGCTGGTTCACCATGGGTGGCTTAGTATTTGAAATACTGGTGGTATAAATTCCATCATCATAGCAAAAGAAAGACCACCACAATGTGACAAACTTGACAGGTGGCTAGTGAAAGGCCTGCTGATCAACATTACAATGAAAGTCTGGGTACAAAGCTTGAGGTAACCTTAAGAAAGGAAAGGCCTTGTGAGGACCTTGAAAAGGATTCTCAGAAATTGAATATATAAGTGCATGTAAGACTATTAGGATTTTCCTGGTCAGAATTCCTAAACACTAGACTCAAACTGTATTGGCTAACTGCAGGTACCGTGAGGGACCGTTTTCTATGTTCATCCTGTCATCCCCACTTAAAATACAGGCAGGTGCTAATAAGTCTTTATTAAATGAGAGAATGCATGGATCATTGGGATACCTAATAGAATTAAATTCCAGGGCTTCGTGCCCAGCTTTAGACTGAGTAAACCTATTAGGAATCTTGGAGTCTCTGTACTTAACCAAGACCTAGGTATTTCTGATGCTCTTCTATAATGTATGTTATCAGGGGTGTTTGAGAAAATGAGTTTTGATGTAGTAAGTCTTGCTTAGGTGTGAGATTCTGTATTGTTATCAAGCTGCCAATCCTAACCACTGTTTGTATTTTGGGAGCAAGGCCCTAGAGTGACTTTGTCCATAGAAATATAATGCAAATCACATTTGTAATTTTTAAAATAACTTATTTATTGCTATTTAGGGTGCTCTGGTAGCTTAGTCTGTAGAAAGTTGTGCTACTCACCTAAAGGTGTCTGGTTTGAATCCATTAACAGTTCTTCAGGAGATGATTGTAATATCCTTTGCAATTTACAACCTTGGGAAACCGACTGGAGGGTTAGTTATGAGTTGGCTCTGAGTTTTAAGTTTTATTGAGATGTATGGAGATCTGGTGGCATGTTGTTATGTACTATTGAGATGACAATGAAGGAAATTGCCCATCTTTCTGAGAAGTAGTATTTGAAATGCTTGCCTTTGAATTGGCAGTGTAAGTTCTTACCACCAGGCCTCTGATAACCAAAAGGTCAGTAATTTAATCCATCAGTTGCTCTGTGTTCTTTTGTAAAGATTTACAACTTTGGAAACCCTAAGGGGCATTCTACTCTATCCTATACGGTGGAGTCTCTGTGAGTTAGAATTGCGTCAATAGAATATAGTGGATTATTGAGACGTAATTCATCTATTTAAAGTGTAAAATTCATTTGTTTTTTATATATTCACAGAATTGTGCAAACATTATACAATTTTCAAACATAACATGTTCTTTACCCCAAAAGGAAATCCTGTACCGTCTAGCTGACCCTGCCCTCTACTTTTCCTCCCAACCCTCCACTCTAGCCCTAAGCAACCACTAGCCTACTTTCTATCTCTACAGATGTTGCTGTTCTGGACATTTCACAGAAATAGATGGAATAATGCAATATGTGATCTTTTGGACCTGACTTCTTATCACAATGCTTTCAAACTTCATGCTTGTTGTAGCATGTATAATTATCTATTTATTTTTGTTGCCAAATAATTGTCCATTATATGTACCCACTCGTTTTATTTATCCATTCAGCAGCAGATGGATGTTTGAGTTGTTTCTGTTTCTGAGCTATTGTAAATAACACTGTGACATCCACTTCCTAAACAACATGCTTTTGGAAACTCTATGAACTTTGAGAAACGACCATAATTATATATAGAAAGGCTTCAGGTCTTTTGTTCATAGGATCGCTATGAGTCATTCTCGACTTGATGGCAATCAACAATAACATACACATTCTTAAATTTTTTTGTGGATATATGCTTTTAATACTTTGGGGTATATATTCAAGACCTTTCAAGGAACTGCCAGGCTATTTTCTAGAGTTTCAATTTTTCTGCATTCTCAACAACGCTTTTTTTTAAAATGTAAACTATGATTTTATTCCTTTCTATTTTTTTAGCCCTTGTTATTTTAAAATTGTAATAATAGTGGGTATGAAGTGGCATTTTGTTGTGGGTTTGATTTTCATTATCTCATGGCTAATAATATGTCATTTTAAATTTTTTATAATCACATTATAAGAAGGCAAAGAAAACAGGTGAAATTAAACAAACAGGTTCATCCTGGAGAGGGTTAAACTGGGAGGCTTCTTGGAGGCAAGGATTCTGAGGCTTCGTGTGACATAGTTTGGACATGTTGTAAGGAGGGACCAGTCCTTGGAGAGGTACATCATGCTTGGGAGGATGGAAAGACAGCGCAGGAGAGGAAAGCCCTCTATGAGGTAGATTGGTTCTGTGACTGGGGTAAACAGGATGGGTGTGTTGGAGACAGTGAGATTTGCACAGGACAGAGCAGAATTTAGGGCTGTTGTATATAGGGTCGCTATGAGTTGCAAGTGACTCGATGGCACATAACAACAACAACAATATTGAATCTGTCCAAACTATTTTTTAACATGTAATCAGTATAAACTATTCTTGAGATATTTGGCATTCTTCTTCTCTCTTAAGTCTTTGAAACCTAGTGTGTTTCTATGTTCACAGCACATCTCTAATTCAGACAGGCTACGTTTCAGGTAGCAAGGAACCACACGTAGCTTATGGCCACCACTTGGAATGGTAAAAATCTAGGGAAAGAAAGTTGTGAAGTGGTAAAGAAGGCAGAGAGAAGTCTGGGAAATGGCATGGAGGCTACCGTGTCTTCAGGGTTTAGGAAAAGAGGCAAGAGGCTATGCTAAAGGGGAGAGGGACCTCAAGAAACTGATATGGAAACCTCAGCCTCTGTGTCTGCTCTTTAGTGATGAAGAGATGTGCCAGAATTTCCTCAAGGAGAATAGCTGGAATGTGTTTCGAGATGACTTGTTGCAGCTACTGGTGAAACCGCGCCTGCTTCCACCATTCATCCCCAGACAGCAAAAGAAGAGACAGTGCGACCAACTTAAGTCTATGACTTTGGATCTCTGTACCTTCAACAAGAAAACTAAGCCTAACTATCCCATTCTCATGGCCCCCCAAAAATACCTCCCCCCGCTGAGGGTTGTCCAACGCATCAAAGCACCCCGGCCCAAAATCCAAGAACTCCTGCCTTAGTATAAGAATGCAGGGGTTCTTATTTAGAACTAATAAAGGACACTGGGCTTTACCACTACGTTTCTGGAATGACCACGATGGAAGCTGTGAAGTGTGCAGTAGGGGGACTGAAGGGTTGAAGTGGGGGTCCAGAGAAGTGTTTGGAAACAGCAACTGGAACCACTGCCTCTGTGGGACTTGAGTGAATGGGTCATCTGGAGGCTGGTGTCGCTGGAAAGTCACTGGAGATGGTCTCAGTGTAGAAGGCAAACTAATAACATTAGGCATTTTTTCATTGAGACAGTATCTAGTCAAATCCAATTCAATATTGTTGTTGAATTGTAAGGCTTTATATATTCTAAATAATAGCTTCTTATCAAGCAAATGATTTGTAAATCTTTTTTTCCCATTTTGAGTGATCTATTCACTTTCTTGATATTTTTAAAACTTTTGGTTATACATTTATATGTTGTTGTTGTTGTTGTTGTTGTTGTTGTTGTTGTTATGTGCCACCAATTCAGCTGCAATTCACAGTGACCCTATGTACAACAGCCCTAAGCCCTGCTCTATCCTGTGCCAATCTGACTGTCTCTGACACACCTAGCCTGATTACCCCAGTCACTGAATCCACTTCATAAAGGATCTTCCTCTTCTGGGCTGTCCCTCCAACCTCCCAAACATGATGTCCTTCTCCAAGGTCTGGTGCCTCTTTACAACATGTCCATAGTATGTCAGACGAAGCTTCAGAATCCTTGCCTCCAAGGAGCAGCCTGGTTTGACCCTCTCCAAGATGAACCTGTTGATTTTCTTGGCAGTCCATGGTATATTCAATACTTTTCTCCAATATGGCAGCTCAAAGGCATCAATTCTCCTTCTGTCTTCCCTAGTCATTGTCCAGCTCTCTGATGCATAGCAAATGATTGCAAAGACCATGACCTGTATCAGGTGCATCTTAGTCTCCAAAGTGACATTATCACTCTTCAGTACTTTGGAGAGGTCCCTAACAGCAGACTTTCCCATCGCAATACATCTTTTAATTTCCTGGCTGCTGGTGCCAACAGTGTTGACTGTGAAGCCAAGACTTTGAAGTTAATGAACAAGTAATGAGTATACAAGATGAAGGCCCAGTTATATTGGGTTTAAACATATAAAGAACTTGTTGTTAGATGCCACGGAGTCAACCAGTAACTGCTCGATACATGATAGAAGATATTAGCATCTGACCATCCATCTACTATCTGCCCCTTTTGATGGAATACCAAACTGCTTTAGAACACTACTGAGTCCTTGAAACCAGTGTTAAAGGCCACCCCTGAGAGATTTAGGGTAGAAGGGGCCTGTCTGATATCAACTCCAACCCTCACACTCTTCACAAAAGGTGGTTAATGTAAACATTGAAGGGCCTGCTTAAAGGGAGAGAGTAGTCTCCAAAGAGTCCACATTAACCTTGTGGTGGGGCACTGTTTGACAGAATAATGGAAGGGACATTTCCATGTGAGTGGTTGCTTGTGTGTGAAAGCCTTCTAGCTTAGCTTCTGGGCTGTGAGCTTCAGAAAGAGCCACGCTTGTCCACGTTATGCCCACTCCCAACCCTGTTCTGTGCTCGGCAACATGGAGCAGGTAGGAGAATCAGACAGAGGAGATTATTGAGAAGAAGCAAATGTTATTCCCCTTGATATAAGAATTAGTAACCAACTATTTTCAGTGCTACCCATTGCCTTAGGCACAGACCTAAGAATCCAAGAAAACTTGTGTGATTTGCCATGTGGAGGGAACAAGGAGATGAGCTAGGACTAAGTAGAGTGCAGTGTGTGCCAGGCATGTTACAGAACCCGTTATGTATCCTGAAAATATTTCCTGGCAACAAGGTGGCATCCCATCTGACAGATGAGGAGCATGAGGGGCAGAAAGGCAAAGGTGTTGTCTAAGCTCAAATGATTTTCCAGGATATCTACCTGCTTTCCGCATAGATTTATCCTAGGGCCCTCTGAGTTAATCGGCATTGGAAAAAAGAGCCACCTGTTTTCAAAAAATAAAAGGTCTACTTACAACCCTGAGAGACTGTTGGAGAGAATGTTATCACCCTCTGGAAAGATTTTTCATATGTAAATATGCATAGTCATAACTAGAGAGAGACACACCCAGGCCACTGGAGCCAAAAATGCAGCCTCTGGCAAGATGTTAATCTTGTTAAAGGGAGAGGGGATTAAAAACCACAGGAGATGTTGCCAAAATTTATTACAGAAAGTGGTTTAAGATCCCATGTTGAGGTGGGAAGTAAAATAATTTTTTTCAATCCTCTATTCCTTTTCTATAATTTTAGGGGGAAATCCTACCTTCCAGCTATGCAAACTCAAAGAGATTGAATGAGTCACTCTGTAATGCTGAAGGGCTGTCTCATAAGGCAGTGCTTTTAGGATAATACAACTAAAGCTCATTTTTTGCCGTGATGCCTTCTGCTATTTGGGGACATAAGGAACATAACTATAGTCTGCTGAGTTCTAAGATTCTGAGTCATAAGTTCAGAGCAGACAGTGAGGTCTAGAGTAAGAATTTCTTAGATGGTTGGTTCCCTTAGGAAATACAGTAGCAAAATTGCAGCTAGAATATTATTTCTTGACTGCTGCAAAGCTGTAGCTTCAGCCCCATGAACATACACTTGTGAAAGCCAGGGGCCGAGTGGGAAGGTATGTGTATGTAGCCTGTGCCAAGATATTTGGTAAACAGTTGGCAACAGATTAAAGAAACTATTGACTGTCATTAATATCATATGCAAGTAAAATTTTTTAAATTTTTAATTATTAATTTTAATGAAAATTTACAGAGACTTTGGATTTCCATTCATTCATTGTCTCACTTTTCTCTCTGCTCTCCCCATCCCCCAGCCCCAAGTACACTCTTCTCTTTGAAAAGTAAAAGAAAAATTCTTTCATTGTTTTACAATCCCTCCCTCCAGGTCCACTCCACTATGCAGCCTTCATTCTGGACTCCTGTCATGACAATAATACCTAATCACATATCTCTTTTAAACAGTTTTCTCCCTCATCTGTTTCAATGCAGTATACATTATTTATCCCATCTTTCTCAGTCTCACCTCAACCCCAGTGTCAGTCCTGTTTTACAATAGTGGAGTTATGCAGTATTTGTCCCTGTGTGACTGAGATATTTCACTCAGCACCCATTTTGAATCATATTTCATGAGTTCCTTGTTTTTCAATGCAGTATAGTATTCCATTGTATGAATATACCACAGCTTCTCTATCCATTCGTTTGTTGATGGGCACTTAGGTTGTTTCCAACTCCTTGCTATTATGAACAAAGCCGCAATAAACATGGGTGTACATATATCTGCTTGGGTGGCAGTTATGGTCTCTTTGGGGTATATTCCCAGTAGTGGAATTGCTGGGTCAAATGATATCTCTATTTGCAACTTTTTGAGAAAGCACCATACCACCTTCCATAGTGGCTGCACCATTTTACACTTCCACCAACAGTGAATAAGGTTCCAGTTTCTCCACAACCTCACCAGCATTTGTTGTTTGCTGCTCTGTTAAATTTTGCTATTCTGACTGGGGTGAGATAATATCTCATAGTTGTTTTGATTTGCATCTCTCTTAGAGCTAGGGATTTTGAACATTTCTTCATGTGCTTGTTGGCCATCTGAATGTCTTCTTTGGTGAAGTTCATATCCTGTGCCAGTTTTTCAATTGGATTGCTTACCTTTATCTTGTGGTGCTCGCAAGTAAAATCTTACTGAAGATTATTTAAAAATGGCTGGAATAGGGAGAAAAAGGCAACAATGAATGAATGAATGGAAAGCCAATGTCTCTGTAAATGTTCATTAAAATTAATAATTTAAAAAATGGCTGGAATAGTGTATCAGCAGGGAACTTCCAGAACAAGACTCCATGGAACAAGATATCATTGCTGATGTCAGGTGGATGTTACTTGAAAGCAGAGACTACCAGAAAAAGGTTAATGTTTTATTGAAACGACATTCCATTCTGTGGATCTTAACAAATTGTGGATAAGAGTAGGGAGAAATGGAAATTCCAGAATAATTAACTGAGTTAACATAGAATCTGTACATAAAGAAGTCGCCATGTGAACACAAGAACGAACAAGAAAATATTGCATGATTTAAAATGATAAAAGGTCTGTATGGGCTGTATCCTTGTACCATACCTATTCAGTCTGTATGGAGTCCTGGTAAACTTAGTGTGTTATATGGTGGGTTGTTAATGAAAGGTCATTGGTTTGAGCCTACCAGATACTCCTTCAGAGAAAGATGAGCAATCTCCTCTCATTAAGATTTACAACCTCATTAAAAAAAATAGTAACAAAAAAAAAAAGAAAGAAAAATATTTACAACCTTAGTAACCCAGTGGAGTGTGGTGGCAGTGGATTTTATTCAATATGTATGATGAGCAAGTAATCCCAGAAACTGAGTCCTTTAAAGAACAAAGCAGATCAAGATTGGAAGAATACTCATTAATAACCTCCTATATGCATGCCAGCAAAAAGCTTCACAATTAGATGAATAAACAACATGATAAATTGAAGAAAATATTGGAATTGCAATAACAGAATGAATTGTTGCCCAATCTTGTGCTGAAAACAAGACATACCAATAATATTTAGTGTTTGCTATTCTCATTTTGAGTTATATCACATCAGCAAATGAAGTTCAGAAAGGCTTTTAGAGTAACTCATTATCTGATAGGTATATCATTACAAACCAAATAATTTAGTGTTTATTGTCTTCTAATAAGAACATCCTCTTTCATGACCACAATGTTATTGTTGTTTTTATGTTACAACTTATAACGACCTATGCCTAATAGCTCTGAACTCTGCTCTATTCTGAGCTAAACTCAGTGTTTCTGACACATTGTCCCAGTTACTATGTCAATCTATCTCACCTGGGGTCTTCTTCTCCTGTGCTGTCCCTCCACTCTTTCAAGCATGATGATGTCCTTCTCCAATCATCAAAATCAACACATTAACATTACTGCATTACAACTATTGACTTCTCAGGCTCATTCAAA